CTTCTTTTCTGTTGTTACAGATGAATTCAAGGCTTTTTATGCAAGACTTCCCCAGAGCTACTTTTTGAATGTGTCGATGATACAGCACTTGTGGTCCTTGGACAGCCTGTTTCAGTGGCGGTACGAGCAGCTGGAGAACAGCATGCGCGTCCTCTCCAAACGAGCCCAGAGAGTCATCTTCAAACTCTTTAGTCTCAGTAAAAGATGTCACCGGCAACCTCAGGTTCGCATTCCAAGGGAGAGGTGAGAGCACATTTTCATTATCCTCTACCGCCGGTTTAGCACTTTGAATTATTGATGCACCCAATTTATCTTGATTTCCCAAAGCTTTCATGCATTTCTGGTGCGGTTAAAGTCACTCCAGTGAAACTTCGAGGCTTTCCCCCCCTGTAGTTTTATTCTTGTGCAATCGTTGTTCAGTCCCTGACATCAACCCCTCGAGGAGTTTAGGTTTTGGCATTTTTCACCCAAACCTTCTTTTTATGAAGTCACAACTTTCAATTCTTTCTTGAAAAAAAAAAAACTAAAACTTTGTGGGTAGAAGAAAACAAGCTGCCGTCACTGCAGCGGCACCTCACTTGTCACACTTCCTCCTTACTCTGAAGAAAGTTATTGTAAAGTATTACAATGCTGAGTCCCATTTGTGCATCCTTCCCTAAGCACATATGCTGCATACGGTTGCAGTCAAAGCAGCCACGTTAAAGTACTCCAGGGATATTCTTTGGTAACTTTTCAAAGGGCTGAGGTAGGCAGTACTATCCTTGTTTGTGTTTGGAACCAAAAGGATTTGAATGAAAGTCAGAAAGCAATCTGTAAATCTTAAACTGGTTAATGTTCCAGTCAACCCCGTTTGATAGCGGCCACAGCTTTGCCATCTTAGCAAATACGAAAATGGCTACCACTCTGTTGGTTTTTAGAGATGCTGGGCTGTAGTTGGATGCAGTGGTACCGGAGCGGCTTTTACAAGACATGCTCTAAGTCGCAGTCTTCCCGGACCACCGTCCTGCTTCAGCTCAGCTGATTTAAGGCAATTAACACGCCGTTGCAGAACTTTAGAAAGTTTTTTTTTTATTGGAGTCAGATGTGTTGGAGCGTAGGAACACTGAAATCATGCAGGGCGGGGACAGGAGTTTGACACACCTGGTATGTGAGAACAGACTGAACTAGATACTGCCTGCCTGAGGTGGCGGCAAAATAAATATGAAATATGAACTACAAAATAAATACCTCCACATTTTGTTGCTGAAAATTGAGGCAAACTTTCCAGTTTAAATGCACAGCCATGTATTTTTTGGGTTCAGCTTTTTGGGCTGATATAGTTTCCTCAACGTAAGATCATCTCAGTTCAAACTGAAAGTTTACAGACAGTTGTTATGTTATGAATCAAAAGGGTCAAATTTTGACCATCCACAATGACCAGAGTAACCTTTCATCTAAAAGGTAAATGGCCTGTATTTGATATAGCGCCTTCTAGAGTCCTCGGACCCCACCAAGGCACTTTACAACACAATCAGTCATTCATCCATTCACACACACATTCATACACTGGTGGGGATAAGCTACGATGTAGCCACAGCTGCCCTGGGGCGCACTGACAGAGGCGAGGCTGCCGAGCACTGCCGCCACTGGTCCCTCCAACCACCACCAGCAGGCAAGGGGGGTTAAGTGTCTTATCCAAGGACGCAACAACAGTGACAAACTGAGTGGGGCTCGAACCTGCAACCTTCCGATTACGGGGCAAGCACTTAACTCCTGTGCCACCGTCCCCCCTTCTACAGGCATAAACTCACTTTCTATTTGGCCTTCAAATCCAGAAGGTTCTGCTCAGGTCTTGTTTGCATACATGAAGTCATAATAAACTGTCAAGGTCTCCTGCAAAAGTCCTTCTCTCTCTGCATAAAAGCCAGACTGCTGGATTTGCCAGAATAGGCCAGAAATGATAAATAATGAGTTTATTAAAACATGAATTACTTCCCGATTAATTCATTTTCTAGCTGATTCCCGAACCGGCCTGTTCGGGACAAGCGTCTTTGAGACATCTCTTTTGACATACAAAAACCTCTTTGCACACTGCAACCTGACACAGCCAGACGGCTCTCTTCAAGAGCCAAACTTCCACCTTGTAAGAATGATATCCTGTGGTCAAATTTGGTTATGGCAGTCCATTGTTTTTAGCACAACTATCACTCTCTCACTCCCCTTCTGTGAGTGTTGTGGCTGTTCCAGTTACGGATCAACGCCAGAATATTCTAGATGACAATCAAACACGAGTCATACACAATAAGATAAGTAGATAAATACATTGTCATATTTGCTGTTAGCACTTTTGATGTTTTACGGTAGAGAGTGCTTAGTACACTTATTACGGCAGCACAAAAGAAGTGTGGTTGTTTGCCGTCTGGCTGTTAGCTCGCTGTTGAAACTCTGAACAACTCATTAAAGCGGGTAAAAATCCACGATTGACTAATTATTGACTTCAAACACACATTTCTCTGCTGACTATTAACTTCAAATTCACCGTTAGCATCGTTAGCTCAATGTTAACCCCTAGCCTACTTTACCCGGTATTAGAGTGAAGCAAAAAGATGACGTGGCTTCTTAGGGGTACAAGAAACTACTTGTGGGTGACTTCCATTTACTGGCTCTGGAGCTTTTTGCCTGTTGGTGTTGAATTACAAATGCCTGCGAAGCATTAACACGCTGCAGATCCGCTTATCCGGAGTTGGGTCGCGGGAGCAGTAGCCTAAGGCAAGAGGCCCAGACTTCCCTCTCCCCAGCCACTTGGGCCAGCTCTTCTGCGGGAATCCCAAGGCGTTCCCTGGCCAGGTGAGAGACATAGTCCCTCCAACGTGTCCTGTGTCTACCTTTAGGTCTCCTCCTGGTTGGATGTGCCCAGAAAACCTCACCAGGGAGGCGTCAAGGAGGCATCCTGACCAGATGCCCGAGCCACCTCAACTGGCTCCTCTCGATGTGGAGGAGCAGCAGGACTACTCTGAGCCCCTCCCGAATGACCGAGCTTCTCCCCCCATCTCTAAGGGAGAGCCTAGCCACTCTGCGGAGAAAACTCATTTCGGCCGCTTGTATCCACGATCTCGTTCTTTCGGTCACTACCCAAAGCTCATGACCATAGGTGAGGGTAGGAACGTAGATCGACCGGTAAATCGAGAGCTTCGCCTTCTGACTCAGCTCTCTCTTCACCACGACAGACCGGTACAACGCCCGCATCACTGCAGATGCAGCACCAATCCGCCTATCGATCTCACGCTCCAGTTTTCCCTCACTCATGAACAAGACACCGAGACACTTAAACTCCTCCACTTGGGGCAGGACCTCATCCCTGACCCGGAGAAGGCATTCTACCCTTTTTCGAATCAAGACGATGGTCTCAGCACCTTTAGAGGAGCTGATTCTCATCCCAGCTGCTTCACACTCGACTGCAAACCGCTCCAGCGAAAGCTGAAGATCACGTTCTGATGAAGCCAACAGGACCACATCATCTGCAAAAAGCAGAGACCTGATCCTCAGGCCACCAAACCGGATGCCCTCCACACCTTGGCTGAACCCAGAAATCCTATCCATAAAGGTTATGAAGAGAATCGGTGACAAAAAGCAGCCATGGCGGAGTCCAACTCTCACTGTGATTATTCCACAGTAGAATTCCTACTAATTGCACCTTTAATGTTGCACTGAATGAACACAGTTGTTGAGGTAGGGAAATACCTAAAACATGTAGGAGGGGGTCCTCAAAACCTGGATTGCACACCATTGATGTGGCTTTTATTCTAAACACGACAAGATTGGATGTTTACTAAAAAAGCAACTGACCCAACTTATCCCATAATTCCCTCTGAGAGGTTTTCCTGTGAGCTTTTTACGTCGTACTGAAGATTTATTCCGTTTTCACAGACTTGTGGATCATTATTATTACAGTTGTTGTCCAACCGGTTCCTTAGCTTTCCAGGTTCATGCTGTCGGCAGCAGGGTTATTTTATGCAGCTCAACATAATTCAGTGCAAAGCTTTAAAAAGACATTTGTTTACTCTTGAACTTTTAGATGCAAAGAAGAACAGTCTGAGAATCGAGCGTGTACACACAGGCCGCTCCAGCCTCCCCCTCTGCAGCTTTCTGTGCTTTAACATTAATCTCCTTCCATTTTTGTAGCTGAGTGAAGTCAGTCATGCTTTTCATGCCAGAAAACAGTCACCTGTCAAAGGAACTGTAGACATGCCAATGCAGGGGTGGTGAAGAGGTGTTTTCAGAAGGTGATGCATCTCGCCGCCGCTGTCAGTCACACTACTTCCGTTTATTTCAGCAAACATGGTAATGGCATCAGCGCCGTGGCAACGGCACAGAGATCGACTTCCAGATTAATCCACAGAGGATTGTTGATGTCCAGCCTTACTGTCTTTTCTCTTGGTGTTCCCGCTCCTTAATTGTCCTTGTTCTCCGCACCACCATGCCAAACACACATTAGTCACTGATCTATGCAGCCGATATTCCCATCCACTCGCCAGGAAGTTTCATCGCCTCCTTGTAAGCAGTGTTTATCTCTGTTATTACAGTCACATCAACTTTGATGCATTCCCTTCCTTTGTTCTCTTTATGGAAATCTCCATCCGCAGTGGCAAAAAAGATCCAGAGAAGAATATTTATAAGTCTGCCTGGGAGAGAAACGGAAGCTCTTTCTTTAACATCCTGTTCGCGCCACTTGAGATTGATGAGAGGTATGTGACTGATGATGCTTCCTCAGGGTAGCTTCTCCGCTGTGCCGACAATTATGAGTCAAAGCAGCAGACAGTAGCCTTTGTTCAGAGGATACGATGGTACTGCCCTTTTGTTTTTAGTTAAAGGGACATTATGGAAGTGTGACAGCCAAATCATGTATAGAAATAATAAATGTCTTCTTCATACATTCTCCTGCAATGCCCTGGTCCTGTAGGATGAGTCCTGGCATTTTTACTGTGATTGCCTGTTTTTCTGTAAAATCACAGAAAAAGAGAGATGCTCGGGTCGAGCAGGCTGCTTCATGCGCGTTCACGCTCAGGCATCGCCCGTAGCATTTGCTATCCGTAGCTTTAGCAGCAGAGAGAGAGGTAGTGCCACTTTGTCGCTGTTCCTAACGCCTAGTGACAAAGCTAGCTACATTTCTGAGGACCCTTAGCTACTTTCTGTAGGACTTTCTTCTAGATATTTCCTGCAAATTAGCAACAAAATAGCCATTTTCACTCCGAACCGTTCTTTGGTTTGACGTTGTTTCAGCTGTCATCAAGGACATAAATGTTACAGATACTGTGAATGTTACTAGAGTGTAGCTCACCTAGTAAGATGTCTGACTCCCATGCAGAAGATCTGGGTTTGATTCTGGATGTGAACATAGTTCATTTAGAGTTTCTTTTTTGCATGAATGGTATATTTTTTTTACAGTAAGATGCCCAAATTTTTATTTGAGACTCGCCGAACGGCATTGAATTCACAGATAAAAAAGATGTGGGTTCAACTTTCATTTTGGAACAATTTTTCAAGCAAGGGAAGGGAATGATCTGAGCATGCAGGAGGACTGACCCATCATAAACCTTTGTCGGCTGTGCTGAAGAGAAAGGTACAGAACCAAATTATTTAATTAATTAGCTGCGCGTTCTTCTGTCCTCTGTCCTCCAGGCCACGCACACACACAAGGGACTGTCTCAGCTGTTATTTTCGTTAAGGAGTGTACACGTACAGCATGCGCGCCTCGTGCACGAGCCTACTATTGAAGCTGCCGTTACGCTTTTGGCCTGAGGGGGCAATCGCGAGAATAAAAATTCAAAAGTCCGTAAAGTCCCTTTAAGTTTGACCGTTGAAACTCAACTTGTCATCAAAAACCATTGTTTCAGTAGAAAAAAATAGCTTTTATTGTGCAGAGGCAGGTCAGAGCCAGCAGAATCCTGTCGCCTTGCCAAATGTAATAAAATATAAACTCATATTTAATTTCATAGATATCTGAAGATCAATTTTCATTTCACTGAATACATGAATTATTGTAAATCTCCTTTTAAGGGAAGAATTCTGGCTTAGTGAAGTATGCAATGTGTTGGTTGGAAGGACGAGGCATCATGTGCAGTTGGCACAGAAATGTTAAAAAGAGGCTTCATCTTATTGAACGCACAGATTTGGTGACTCATTGGAAAAAGTTTGAAAAATATACCTGAAGAATCCTTTAAAGATCAACTTTACTCATATTTTTAATACATTTGCAATGGTCTCTAGTTGGAATGCCTTGTAAGTCAAACTCTGGGGGGAAAAGCTCAGGTTCGCCTGTTTCAGGAGATAGAAGGAAGTCACATCAGAGTTGAGCTTCAGACGGCAGGATTTGGCGTCTTATTTTCTGATATTTGGACATCTTGCCTCTGATTGGCCAACAGCAGCGAGACTTTACCACTGACTCTGTTCTGCAATATTGATGCTTCATCTCCACAACAACACAAGCCTGAAGGAGTTCTGCTGTGTGGTGGAGTTGCTAATGCTAACTGTTAGTTTCTACTAATTGAGACATTCTCTGATGTTTCCGAGATGCTAAACCAACAACAGCCTTCCCCGTAGTGAGTCAAGGTGGGTGAAACCATGAATGTTAGTCCGTGTGTAAGCGTGTGAATGGGTGAATGACTGATTGTGTTGTAAAGCACCTTGGGGGGTTCTAGGACTCTAGAAGGCACTATATCATATAGGGATGTGTATTGGTAAAATTCTGGTGATACAATACGTATTACGATACAGGGGAGACGATACAATATATCACGATATATTGCGATACATTCAGTCAGACGATATTGGCAATTTTTTAGACAAAATTTACTGTAGGAAAATTCAATAAACAGTCCAAACTGATACTTAACATGTTTAACCATAACAGAGGGACTTACATTTAAATGGTGGAAACAAAACCCATTACACACTGCTGCCAACTAGTGGTTGGTGTTTGAATTGCAAAACAAGAAAAGAAAATACACAAATGTTTGCATGTAAATTCGTCCAAAATTTAGACACGCAACTTTTGAATATCGATATAATATCGCTGGGGAAAATATCACGATATATTGCCATAATCGACATTTTCTTACATCCCTAATATCAAATATAGGCCATTTACCATTAAGTGACCATGTGACATAGATCTGTCAGGATTTTCAAATCCTAGAAATTCCCCGTCTATTTGCTACCAGAGCTAATGCAGGAGGCAGGTGTAGGAGACTATTTTCATGTTCAGCCTGCATGAAAAGCTCAGAGTGACCCATTGCAATCAGGAATAATCATAAAAAATGCTTTTTTCAGTGCAGTTGACCTTTAAAGGAGGGAGTGGATAATGATAAAAATGCTAAATGTTTCCCCACAAGACTCTAGTTTGATTATTGAGTAGAAAAATCAGCTTTTCTCATTTTTCTAATCAGTTGTCCCCGTTTTGGATGATTTTATTAGCCTTGTTTTGTCATGAAATTATTTTAATTATTTTTGTTTTCAATTAAATTTTAGGAAACCAAACAATCATCTATGCTGTCTCAGACGTTCTGAAGCAGAAACACACCACCACAGTAACAAAGCCAGCTAGTCAAAGTAGACTCGATCTCTGCTTCGAGTCGTCTCAGGAAATAATTCTAAACACATTAGGAGCTTCCTCCACATCATCTAGCTATGAGACGTTCTTGTCGTTTCACATATTTTCTTCAGATTTTATGTGTGATTTATTCCCTTTATTATTCACAAAACAACAACCAGTCACAGCAGATCACGTTAGCCTCGCAGAAGAACATTCAAATCGATGCTCTGAAACAAAAAGAGGCACAAAAACTGACAGCCTGAATAAAAAAAACTAAATATCTTGGCAGGTGAAATCTCACAAGCTGAGACAGAATCCAAGGGTGGGAACAAATCAAACAAATAATCTACCGATGCAAAGGTAGAAAAAGCTGCAAAGACAAGCAACGCGTGCACAGAAAACCGCTGGAGAACACAGACAAACCTGCCATAAAAGGAGGAAGAGACCTGCCTGTAGTTAACGAACCGAGAGCCAGACGCGGGGAAGACTGAGGAAGTTCGTTGGTGTGGGATTAAAGAGGTTTAACCAGGACAGCAGGGTGCTACAGGAGAGCTCTACCAGAAACACTCTTTCTGCTCTGAAATAGACTTATATTTGCTAACACAAACATTTCTTTTTAAGGGTATAAAAGATGTCCAAGAAAACCTGGATAAAAATGCTATTAGCTTAAATTGGTGGTATTCACTTTTTTTCCTCCATTGTGAGCTTAGAAAAAAAACTTTACAAAATAATAACAGCAATCAAAGCAGCAAAACATCATTCAGAGTTCCCAAATGTTGTTATTATTTTATTACCGGGACGCTTTTAGGAGGAAAATAAAAGTTGACAGTTTTCTGATTAAATTGGTGCTCTTTTTGCTACCTGCTACTCTAAACTCACCACGGCTCTTAGAGGACACTGATTTACAGCAGTGGCTCACGAGGGACGCTGCAGGGGGCATGGAGGCTGTACGCAGTCTCACCGGGGGACTAACGCTGCAACTGCAGACTGGTTCCGGCAACAGCTTTGCTCTGCTGAAGCTGCTGGAGGTGAAATGTTTTACCCACAGGTAGAGGATGATGGACAGAAACAGTCATTTTGGTTCATCTGCTGCTTTTTCCTTGTAAAAATCTGTGTGTGTGTGTGTGTGTGTGTGTGTGTGTGTGTGTGTGTGTGTGTGTGTGTTTTAGTGTGTGTGTGTGTGTGTGTGTTTTAGTGTGTGTGTTTTAGTGTGTGTGTGTGTGTGTTTTAGTGTGTGTGTGTGTGTGTGTGTGTGTGTGTGTGTGTTTTAGTGTGTGTGTGTGTGTGTGTGTGTGTGTGTGTTTTAGTGTGTGTGTGTGTGTGTGTGTGTGCATGTATGTGTTTTAGTGTGTGTGTGTGTGTGTGTGTGTGTTTTAGTGTGTGTGTGTGTGTGTGTGTGTGTGTGTGTGTGTAATTGTGTTTTAGTGTGTTGTGTGTGTGTGTTTGTAATTGTGTTTTAGTGTGTGTGTGTGTGTTTTAGTGTGTGTGTGTGTGTGTGTGTGTGTGTGTGTGTGTGTGTGTGTGTGTGTAATTGTGTTTAAGATTCTCTCTCTGAATATATATATATATATATATATATATATATATATATATATATGTATATATATATATACACATATATATATATATACACACACACACACACATATATATATATATATATATATATATGCATACAAATCAGTTACTTATTTTCTTGAACTTGGGCTTCCAGGAACACAATGTGATGTAAAAGATTCTCCAAACATAATCTGACAAACATTTCCAGATTAGCATAAAGTTTACCTTAGAACACTCATCAAAGACAGATTTTTTTAACAAAGGAGAGCCAGCAGTATATGCTGAGCATTTCTCCCTTCGGTGAGCAGAGAAGATAAGAGGCATGAAGGGATCATAGTAGAAAACTGGCAACAGAAGGGAATCAAACTCCGATTCACACGAGGGAATTATGTGCATGTCTGAGACTAAGTAACCCCACGGCTGCGGAGCACTTCTAATATCTAAGTCACAAACTGATCAAAGGCAGCTTTCTCTTTTTCTCGTGTGTCTTTCAGTTTCTTTTATTGCACTGCTTTTGCTCATTTTCTTTCTATCAATCAGAAACTAATCAAGCACCGTTGAACACATTTATAAAACCCTCCTTAGAGTGTCAGACTAAAAAAGAGCATTTGGTCATTTTTGCATCATAGCTGTTGAATTAAAAACTCAGCTTTGAAACTCGGTTATGTTTTGACCTGCAGACAACCTAGACCAGGATTAGGGAAGGGATCCCAGGCTTGTGGTTTTTATATTTTTAATGAGCCAGCTGTCTGCAGACTCAGACAGGTGTCTCATCAAGCCTCTGCCTAATAAACCAGCGTGTTCTCATCTCTCTGTCTCTTCTCATTCCCCGGTGCAGGCCTCAGTCCTACTGGCTGGGTCATTTCCAGTCCATCCTGTACTGCTCCGAGAACAACCAACTAGGAGAATTCTCAGAGGAGCTCCACAGCTGCAGCTGCCGATACGAGCGTGGCGCCTGTCAGCTGCCTCCCCCTTGCTCTGTCGGGGAAGGCTCGGCCTGTGCGACCTGCGCGTCGGACAACCACACCAGATGTGGGAGCTGCAACCCCGGCTTCGCCCTGACGCAGGGGGCTTGCAGACCTATGGTGGCAGATTCTACAGAGAACTACCTTGGCTTTGAGACGGACCTCCAGGATTTGGAGCTGGGCTACTTACTCCAGAGAGCAGACCGCAGGCTAGAGGTATCTGTTCGTTAGTCTTTGTTTAACGATGTCAGACTTACTGGGGGGTTGAGCTGTCCTGAAACAGTAGCTTGGAAAAAGATAGATGTACTCTTGGGAGCCACTCAGCGTCGTATAGCATCACCCTTCTGGCAAATGAGGAACTTTATAGTTTCTCCACATATCTGGTTTACAGTTTGTGTGCGATGGTTTATTGGACACCATTTGTTGTTTTTAGCTACTTTTGTCACAACAAAATAATAACATAGCTAATTTATGTTTAACCTTGGCAGTTAATTGTTCATCGTAACTTTAGAGAGCCTTCAAGCTACGAGCCAGCCTGTGCAGATTTCCAAAAACTCTCTCAGCTCTCATGAAGGCTGCTTCACACATTCCTCCACAACCACGATTAGCAGCGATTCTTTACCGAGTCATGCATTTTTGCAAGTTTGTGTGAGACGCATCGTTTTAAAGTGTGTTACGGATATCAAAAGCTGTTTTTCTGTGTAAACCTTATTAGCAATTCACATCTGATCTATTATCAATGGCCTCCTTGAGAGAACGCTTTTTAGAAGATTAGCATTTTTGTCAAACTGACATAATTACGTAATGTATATAAAAGGGTTATAAATGGGTATTGACGTGTTTGTCGTGCTTCCAAAGTGTTAACATGGATAATAAGCCAGACCAACTCCTTTTCAAGAGCCAGGAAAGTGAGCCTTCTTGCTCCTTTATTACTTTGCACGCAACAAAGTGTACGCAATCATGTTTTTGAATTGGAGTGAAACTACAGATAGCAAAAATTCTCCTTATAAGTTTCAACATTAAAGCAGGAATCTGGTAGCCTGGCAAGCCAGACTAAATAAATGTATTATTTAGTCTGGCCATGCTCCATTGACGGCTCTCGGTTGTGGGGCGGGTTCTACTGTTGTCTTTCAAATGATCTCTGCATTCCACTGGACAATGAATGTTGTTTCACTCTGTTGCATCATCCCACCCACCAGGCATATAGAGTGCCCTGATTGGCCCACAAAGCAGATAAAGCTCTGTGATTTGTTCACTAAGCAGATAGAGCACTATGATTGGCCCACCATTATGGACCAATCACAGCTCTTTATGTGTTTGAAACCCCTCTAGAGAGCTGTGATTGGCCAGCCAGAGTCCTGGTAGGAGCTGCAGAGGTTCCAATGGAGCGTGCTTAGACCAAACTTTGCAAAGCAAGAATTTGGTCTAGTTCACTAGGCTAGGAATCTGTGAGAATTCAACTGAGAAATAATCACAAAACAGTCTACTGTCCCAATCATGATGGAAGGAGGGTTAATCTGGAACATCTTTGGTACGTTCTTATTTTGTTTGGCTTCTAATTCCATTTTTGGTTCTTTTTTAGAACACAGGAAAGGTTTCTCTTCACCTTGCTGACAGTTTCGTTTGCGTCTGCAAACATCCTAAGAGCTGGCGCTGATGGTGGCGTCACTTCCTACTTGTCCCAGAAAGACAAGAACCAAAACCAGTGATAACCCTACCATACATCAGAGGCATAACAGAAAAAATAAGAGCAACAATGAAAAAACACAACATAAACACACAAACAAAACCATACATAACAGTTAGAAACAGACTAGTGCACCCAAAAGACAAAATATCAGCTGGACTTGAATGTGGAGTCGTTTAGGAAATCCCATGCAAACTCTGCAATAAAACATACATAGGAGAAACCGGACACCAACTCAACACACGAACAATAGAACATAGGAAGGAGTGCGAGAAAGAAACAAGTCGAAAACACACAAGAGCAGCAAAAGAAGAGGCAGAAAGCACAATAAAGTCTGCCGTAACAGAACACTGCACAAGAGAAACCATATAATGGACTGGGACAACACAAGGATCACAAACACCGAACAACAGAAATACAAAAGATGGATAAAAGAAGCTATAGAGATGAGGAGACGTGGATGTGGGACCATGAACAGAGACGATGGGGTCTACACATTGGATCGTGCATGGGACTGCATCATTGGAGAGGGGAGAGCGGGCAGCAGAGGGCGACAACGTCCTCAGCTGCCCGCGGGTAAACGGAGAAGGAAGTGACGCCACCATCAGCGTCAGCTCTGAGGAAGTTCGCAGACGCAAATGAAACTGTCAGCAAAGTAAAGAGAAACCTTTCCTGTATACTGAAACACTCAAGCTAAGCAACGGTTTGTTCTAATTGATTAAACTCCAAAGTGGACAGGTGCAGTCTTAAAAATACTATAGCTTTGCTCGATCTACAGTGGATTCGTTTGTGAAGATCACTTTTACACAGGAACACCAGAAGAGTGGCTTTTGCTGCATAACTCCTAATCTTTGTTTACGTGTGTCTTCTAGGTTCATGCGATTTTCATCAGCAACGACATGCGACTTAACAGCTGGTTCGACCCGTCCTGGAGAAAGAGGATGCTGCTGACGCTGAAGAGCAACAAGTACAAGTCCAACATGGTCCACATGCTGCTCGGAGTGTCCCTTCAGATCTGCCTTACCAAGAACAGCACCCTGGAGCCTGCCCTGACTCTCTACATCAACCCTTTTGGAGGAAGCCACTCTGAGAGCTGGTACATCCCTGTCGATGAGAACAGCTATCCCGACTGGCACGCCACCAAGCTGGACCTGCCCTTTGAGTGTTACAACTGGACTTTGACTTTGGGTAACAAGTGGAAAACTTTCTTTGAAACCATCCACATCTACCTTCGCAGTAGGATAAAGACTCACGACGGAGTGAACGACAGCGTTTATTACGAGCCCGTAGAAATGACAGATCCTGCTCAGAGCCTGGGGTACATGAAGATCAACAGCATCCAGGTCTTTGGCTACAGCATGAACTTCGACCCAGAGGCGATCCGAGACCTGATCCTGCAGCTGGACTACCCGTACACCCAGGGCTCGCAGGACACGGCCATGCTTCAGCTCATGGAGATCCGAGACCGGGTGAACCGGCTGTCCCCTCCTGGCCAGCAGAAGTTGGACTTGTTTGCCTGCCTCCTCCGTCACAGACTCAAACTAACGCCTAGCGAGGTGGTTCGTATCCACGCCTCTTTACAGGCCTTCATGTCACGTCTGCCCAATTCAGCGGATTATGAGACCACCAAACTGTGCAGTTAACAGCCGCTTGCAGAAACTAAACAGCTAAAAGGGGAACTGCGGTAGCTTATTTGGTGCAGGTGCACACACACACACACACACACACACACACACACACACACACCTGCTCGGTCTCAATGGATTACCAAACTCTGTGGCTAATCAGACCACAACCAGCTGTGGACAGCTGAAGAATGTGCTCATTTGGTTCTTTTGGGTTTTGTGGAGCCTAACCTTGCGGTGTTGCATAAGAACAAACCGGCGGCATCAGTGGGGAACAGCTCAGCTGTTTCTCCAAAACAAGATCAGAACAACTGCAGTAGAAAGTTAGCAGGATCATCACGTTTCAGTACCACGCTGCTCATTTATACTGTAAGTACCAAATGAATGGACACGTGACGGTTAAACATGGTACTGTCTGTTTGTTGGTAATTTTTATATGTTTCTTTGCTTCAGTGACGGTGCACTTTCCATAAACGCCACATCGAAGTCATGTGGGACGATGTTTTGTAGATAAATTGATATTAAAACATCATGTTACAGATTTGAGCTGTTGAAATCTGTTTTTTTTTATATTTCTTGGGGTCAAAAGAGCTCTAAGAGTATGAATTACCACAAAGGTTGAACATTTTATTGATTTATTTGTAATTAATTCCAGACTTTAAATTTAATTCATTTATTAGAATCTCACAAAGTTGCATTTTCCTAGACGGTAAACGATTTAAACATATTATAAACAAACTCCAGATGTGATTGCACATGTTTTTATTGACTTTATTTACAATATTGGGTCAATCACACTCTTTAAAATGTGCTATGATTTCATAAATAAAACTAATATGCTATTTGGATAATAAACGCTTCGATTTGTTTTCTTAAAGATCAGATTTACTCATTTTCAATACAGCTGCAGTGATCTCTAGTAGGAATAAATGCCTTGTAAGTGTTTCTTTGGGGAAAAAAGCTCCGGTGCACTTGGTTGAGGACGAAGAAGTCAGCTGGAGGAGAATGTGGCAGAACTTAGCAGGATTTGGAGTCTTATTTCCTGGTCTCCTCTGATTGGATACCAGCAACGTGACTGTATCACCAACTCTGATCTGCAACGTTGATGTTTCATCTCCACAAACATTACAAGCCTGGAGGAGTTCTGCTGTGTGGTGGAGTTGCTAATGCTAATGGTTAGCTTCTACTAGTGAAGACGTTCTCTGCTGTTTCCTGGACGCTAAACCGACAACAGCCTTCCCCGTTGTGAGCCAAGATGGGTGAGTCCATGAATGTTAAGTGACAGTGTGACGTAGATCTGTCAGGCTTTTCTAATCCTGGAGTTTCACCGTCTGCTTTCCGTCAGAAGCTAATGCAGGAAGTAGGTGTAGGAGACTATTTTCATGTTCAGCCTGCATGAAAATCTCAGAGTGACGCGTTATGATCAGGAATAATCATTAAAAAAACAAAATTTCAGTGAAACTGACCTTCGATTCAAGGTTATCCTTCTCCTAGAGAGGCCTAAACGGAGGTTCTTGTAAGTAACAGAACTTTACGATTTGACAGAATATAACTTCTTCCTGGAGGGTTAGACTCAGTTGTCAGGATGGGAAAATGATGGACGTTTTATTTCATAATAACCATTTCAGTCATGCACATGTTGACACTGAATGCACTTTAGCTTACGTCCCAGTCGTTTGACTTCCCTGCGTTGGAGAGGTAAACTGTGGTCGTGTTGCTGTGCGTCGGCTCCTTTTCCACGCTGAAGCCTCCGTGCACATTTTGAAATCTCTTACGCAAACAGATATATGCTTGTGCACTGGGCTGTGAGCTCTGTCAAACAAGCGTCGAGTGCACGGCAGCGAACTGTGGCTGAGCAGATCCAGTGCAGACTCTGACTGAGGACAGTAGCTGCTTCTGCTGTGCTGCTGACAGGCTGCTTCTGCAGCGAGGCCACTTTTAGAACAAATACAAATTAGCTTAGACAGCGCACAGCTTTTGCTGTTCCACTCAACCACGTAGCAAACCATTAGTAAACCCTGCCTGCGAGAAATGTCGGTGGTTGTGTCAGCACGTCAAAGAACTCAGGAAGCAAACAGGAGCTTTCGTTTTAATCAGCGGCATTTCTCTGAACTCAGTCATTCAGAAATATTCAAGCGGGGGTCACAATAATCCCTAATAATGGCTACATTTTGGCATCACTGCTACTTCTTCTTGAATAAATACAGAAAATAAGCATAATTCAGTTTAATTGTGCATTTTCAAGGCTGTATCTGATTTTTAGCACTCATCAAATTAAGCTGTTTCGTCAGGCTCCAAGACAGCAGTTTGTGATTAAGACACAACAATTTAGTCCAATCAGCGCTGTGAGCCAGCAGAGCTTTGTTAGTCTTTTCTCAGAACGGTAGAGTCTTCTTGGATTTGCTGCATTTTCGTGGGCTGAGTGGTAAAGTGTTGCTTGGCAGAGCAACAGAATCCAGGAGCTGCAATCACCCGGTAAAAGTCCAGTCCCCATCCAGAACCAAACCAGGCTCACGAAGCCTTAAAGGTTTGTGCAGTTACAATAATTGGCTGAAAGTTTGTGAACTAAAGCAACATCACAAATATGTTTTCACGTGATCAGGAAGTAAAAAATCCATGTGTTAGGAGATCGTTTTGGGCCGCTTCTGTAAAAAAGGCGAGAAGGGGTGTATACACACACACACACACACACATATATATATATATATATATATATATATATATATATATATATATATATATATATATATATACATACAACAAAGCATGAGAATAATAATCGTAAAATATGTGTTTGGGCCTTGTTGGCTGGCTTGAGGTGCACATTCACAAACGAGTGGCATTCCTTTTGCCGACAATATATAAATGATGGGAACGGTTTATGGTTCGATACCTCTTTCAGCCTCTAGATGGTGCCATTTGTAGCTTAAAGGCAACATAACTTCACATATTTCAAACCACTTCAAAGAAAAAAAGTGTTTTAGTTCATAAAAGCATTCCGTGTTATTAATTAGACAATTGTCTTCCCTTTAGGAAGGTTTTACCAATCTCAATAAGATGCATAAACTCTTAGGGCTTTTAGTCCTGCTGCTGATCAAACGCTGCTTCTTTGCAAAGCGGGTCAAAGATTCTATCAGCATTATTAATGTCAGGTACAAGATGCCATCTCTAATCTGTGAGCTTGTACGAGCTGTCCTGACACTATAGACAAAAGGGAAGTCAAGCACCTGTGAAGGTTAACAGTCATCACCTCAATTTGTCTGCTCCTCCTATCAACTCCAGCTGATGTCGCAAGCCACGCCGGACAAGGGCTGTATATGGATGAGTTGTGTTTGATGAGATTGTGAGTGCTGGAATGTGTTACCAAATGTCAGCTCATCCTTTTTATTTATTTATTTATTTTTAATACAACAGAGTCAATTACGCAGAGGAAATGAGCATTCTGCAGCAGCGTAGAGAGCAGTCCTGAAATCCTGGACGGCACTAATGCTGGCTTTGTTTCTGGGATGTGTCACTCACTACAAGCATGTAAAGATTACCCTACCAAGTTTATCTATAAAGCACATTTAAAAACAGCATGACAGCTGACCAAAGTGCTGTACAGTAGTAATAAAAAGGAAAAACTCCAAGATAAAATCAAGATTATTAAAAGGGATAACCTAAAATTTTAAAAGAAACACACTAGAGTACAAAACAGTCACAATAAAAAAATGAAAACAATCAAAGCTTGGTCATTGATCAAAAGCTAAATGATAGAAGTAGGCCTTCAGTACAGACTTGAATCGACCCAGTGTCGAGGCCTGTCGAATACTAAAGCCTGATTCATGCTTCCGCGTCTGCGTCAGCGCAGAGACACGCAACGCCATTATCCGTCCTTGCGGGATTGCTGGAGAGCCCCGCAAGGACGGGCGGAGTCGAGCTCTCTTTTCTAAACATCCGTCTGTCGAGACGGAGAACGTGAGCTTGTGATTGGTCAGAGCACCGCTGTCGTCTCCACCGCCGCCGTTGCGCCCTCAAAAACATAATAACTAGCGGCAGACACGGAGAAGCTTGAAGAACGCCTCACGAAAAAACTCTAAAAACATGAACGTTTCATCCTCCCGTGACTGGAGGAGTGAAAAGATGCGCAGCAAGCGTTTTATTTGTGGACGGAAATGACAGGAAACGTGGGTTTAAAGGTGGCGAGCGCATGAAGAGGTGGAGGAGAATGAGAGACAAATGTGTCCGTGTTAAAAAGTCTCTTGTATACAAAAAAACACAATTCAAACACACTATGAACATCTTAGGTGTGTTCTTGCTGTGTCTTTCTAAATCCATGCTTTCGTTCTTTTTTAAACACAGAAACAGTTTTGTTTACCTGTTTGTACATAGGAGAAACCGGACGCCAACTCAATACACGGACAATAGAACACAGAAAGGAGTGCGAGAAAGAGGCAAATCGTAAACACACAAGAGCAGCAAAAGAAGAAGCAGAAAGTACAATAAAAAAGTCAGCCGTAACAGATCATTGCTTAAGAGAAAACCATATAATGGACTGGGACAGCACACGGATCATAACCACCGAACAACAAAAATACAAAAGATGGATCAAGGAAGCAATCGAGATAAGGAGACGTGGATGTGGGACCATGAACAGGGACGACGGAGTTTACACGCTGGACCACGCATGGGACTGCATCGTCGGAGAGGGGAGAGCGGGCAGCAGAGGGCGACAACGTCTTCTGCTGCCCGCAGATAAACGGAGAAGGAAGTGACGCGCCACCATCAGCGTCAGCCTGAAGAAGCGGGCAGCCGTCGGCGAAACTGTAGCTACAAACAGGTAAACAAAACTGTTTCTGTGTTTAAAAAAGAACGAAAGCATGGACAAACACACTATCTTGGACCGATACATGACAGGATACCACAGAACAGCGCTACGCCCTCTGCTGTCCTGGAGGGGAATTGCTTTGCAACACTCCCCAGGAGACGGAGAAGTATGAGAGCAAAACGCTTCCGTCAATCCGTGTGTGTCTGTCCCTTGCGGAGCTGACGGAGAAGCATGAACCAGGCTTTAGGGGGAGAGCATTCCAAAGTTTAGGCACAGCGAACGCAAAGGCCCGCTCCCCACGAGATTTGTACCTCATTTTAGGGATGCACAAAACCAAGTGATCTGCCGATCTCAGGTTTCTGGGTGGAGCTTGAGGCTTAAGCAGTTCTGACAGATAAGCAGGGGCTTGATCATTTCAGGGTGTTGTAAACAGAGGTTAAAACCTTAAACTGGATCCGATATTTAACAGGCAGCCAGTGCAAGTGTGCAAGGACAGGTGAGATGTGACAGCGTCCAGAGGTGTTTGTCAGGAACGTAGCCGCCACATTCTGTACTCTCTGAAGACGCTCAGTTGCTGAGACACCGACACCAATAAGTACTGGGTTGGCATAGTCTAAACGTGAGGTGACAAAGGCGTGAACGACAGACTCCAGCTGCGGTCGTTTCACTATTGACTTTAGACGTGAGATGCGACGTAGTTGAAAAAAAAACAAGACCCGACTGTGGCGTTAATTTGTAA